CCCCCCTGGCCTCCTGCCCAAACCCCATTGCATCACCCTGGCCTGGAGTCTCTGCCAGGCCTGGCCTCCCCCAGGCCCCCTCAAACTGCTTACCACAACCCTAATGGAATAGAGAAGACCCGGCAGGGAGGGGATGGGATCCTCCCCCATATCAGGGTAAATCCAGTTGTCTGGCTCTTAACCTCGCTCGTACCCCACCCCCACCTAGCTAAAGTGTCATCTCCTTTTTCCAACACTCCTTTAAAACATCTGGACTTTCCCACACTCCCATTCCCTAGGTGTCTCTCTGGCCCCTGGCCTGATCCTACAGGCCCTAAAGCAGTCTTCCAAACCGGGACCCCGCTTTCTCATCCTCCCCCATCCCCTCCTGCTCATCTCTCTTCCCAAGAGAACCCAGGTGTCCAGCTTGCACTCCTCCCCTCTCATTTTCTCTTACAATACACCCTTAGAATAGGGCTCTGAACAATCCACCTCCCCAGTGACCTTCCTCCCTCCACAGCTGGGCCTGCAACCCCTTCCTGCCCAGTGGTGACAAACACAGCCCCCACCTGGGGCCATCATCCTGGAGACGGAGGGCCTCAGTGTTCTTGTTCCCCCTACAACCCCTCTCACAGGAACCCTGAAACAGCATCAAAGGGCAGGGTGAGCACAAGAGAGGTTTATGTGGCAGGAAAGGGCCAAGCTTTAAGTCAGGCAGAGCTGGGCGTGCGTCCTGGCCCCACCACTTGTTCTTTGTGTGGCCTAGGGCGAGTTACTTAAGCTCTGTGTTTGTTTCGAAGTGTTTTCACGAGAATCAGACACCTAATTTATGAACCTGTTCTGAGAACTAAATGAGACAATATATACAAAAGGCACCTGGTCCATAGAAGGTGATCAGTACACGGGAGGCATGATTTTTACAGGGTCGCTTTCTGTTTTCTGGTTTTCTCCTCCTTGGATATCACCTAGTTCTTTGTCTAACTTTCCCCCCCGCCCCCAATCTCTTACTTGCTTCTAGTATTTGTTTATAGTAGTGGTCGTAATAATGGTCCCTCACATTCCTTAACACTGTCATATCAATTTTCCCACCGGATGGCTACAAAAATCTTTGCCTTAGAGGAAACACTATTACCCCATTTTATATGCACATATAAAGCCGATGCTTCAGGAATTATAGAAATTGGCTTAGGGACCATTCAAGGGCAATCCATCATTTTATAGGGAGCAAATCCAAAGCTTAGAAAGAAGAAGTGACTTGGCCCAGGTCACCAGCTGGAAAGATGCTCAGCCTTAACCCAGCTCTCCTTCTCTTCTGGTACTGCCACAACTCTTCCTCACCAAGCAGCCGGACATATCTCTTGAGAACACACTGGGGGATGTAGATGTCCTCCTGGGGCCTGGCCAGGGCTGCTATAGGACCTACAGGAGCTGGGCCCTGATCCACTTGACACTCCCCGCCCCCAATCTTGCCAGGCCAACAGAGTCAAACAGTAACCATGTATTGAACAGGAACTTGGTTAATCAGAAGCCTGGCTGGGGAGATAGTAGAGGGGAGAGAAGGGGGTAAATTGGCAACAGGGTAGACCAGAACCTTGGCTTAGGAATAAGGATTCGTGGCTTCTGGTTCTTATGTCAGGAAGGATTCCGAGTGACCTTGGCCATGTTCCCTAACTTCCTTGGTAAAATGAGAACATGGGACTAGGTCAGCAATCTTGTAATTAAAGTTTCTTCTTGGGGGCACTTGGGTGGCTCAGTCAGTTAAGCGTCTGACTCTTGATTTTGGCCCAGGTCATGATCTCACAGTTGGTGAGATTGAGCTCCACATCGGGCTCCGTGCTGGGTCTGGAAACTGCTTAAGATTCTCTCCCTCACCCTCTTCCCCACCCCTGTTTGAGTGTGCTCGCTCGCTCGCTCTCTCTCTCTCTCTCAAAAAACAAACAAAAAAACCACAACAAGTTTTTTCTGTATTTTTGTTTAAAATCAAACAATATCTTTCCAGGGCATTCTGTATAAAACAGGAAAAAGAGGTTGTTCTAAAAGAAGATGGGGAGGACTGTCAGGACCAAACTGGCCTCCTCAAATGTCATGTGGCAGGAAGTCTGCAAGGAAGGCATCTGCAAGGAAGTCTTCAACCCAGTGGATGCTCTCTCTGGTGCCTTGCAGCTGTGGTGGTCCGTGTCTCTGAGAACCAACTCTAGAATTTCAGGGATCTGAGGTTTCAAAAGAAATGATGGCAATGATTTCTTCCCTTGAACTCGGCATTTTGAAAGAGTTTATCTGCCAAACTGCATTTAATAAGGAATAATTAATTCCTTTTCCCTGTTGTCTTTTTTTTTTTTTTTTATCAACTAGAAGTTAGAACAAGAAGACATCTGTAGCCGCCAATCAGAGCTTTCAACCAATTTGAGATATAACCAGCTTCCCTACATCAGTTGATATAATTATAGCCCAAAGCAGATACCCTTGAGGTTTTAATTAGCCCAGCCACCTTATCAGGTAAATGCATGATTTCCGTTAGGCTTTCTGAAATATTGAAAATAGTGCAAGGACGCTCCGCTGTTACCTTCCTGGACCCCTAAGAGGGCCCAACTGTTGCCAGATTTAGGAAGCAAGAACTAGGAGAGGGAGAACAGCGATAAGCTCGGTGACGTGCCTACTCTGACACCAGGCACTTTGCTTGGCACTGTTTATTGGGATGGAAGGGCCACTGCACCCGCAGGTATAAGTCATGGGGTGGGGACGGGCATCTGAGTCTGTGTCCCTTGCCTGCACACCACATCTCCTGAACCCTCCCACAACTACAATGTACACACCCCTGGCTCACGAGCCTGTGGGCTTCCCAGGCTTTGTAAGGTCTTTCTCGCCTTCTAACCCTGCCAGGCTCCAAGCTTCTTCCACAAGCCAGCCTAGGAGCACTCAGGCTCAGCTGCTCCCCAAGAGCAAGGGGTGTGGGAAAACTGGGAGTGGGAGCAGGGTCCTTTGGCTGCAGCCCTGTGCTCTCCTGGAAAGGGAGTGCTGGAGCTCCAAGAGACTTCAAGACAACCTGTTCAACCTCTTCACCCGGAGAGAGAAGGGAAAGGATATTGCCCAAGTCCACACTGAGCTGGTGCCTGAGCCAGAACTCCTGACTCATGGTCCAGTGCTCTTTTCACTGCCTCCTGTATCATAGCTATTCTCTGGGGCTGCCCCTACTAAGAGAGGCTTGCACCCCTCTCTCCTCACCCAGCCCCAGGACAATGCACTCACTCTCTGCCTGCCACCAAGCTGTGGGCCTGGCAGCTGACTGGGTCCCTGCCTTCCAAGTCGCCAGCTCCCACCCCCCTCAACTGGATGTAATGCCTGAGTGAGAGGGGTGGGGCCCTGCGGGTGGGAGACAAACGGAGAAGTGAGAGGTTGGAAACAGACAGGAAGCCACAGGCAGTAAACATTTCCTGTCCCCAGGGTAACCAGGACTCGCACCCCACCCCCCTTCACTCCAGGAACTCTCCTCTCTGGCCCCCCTCCTGTTCCTCTGGACCCTGCCTTCTCCCTCCTCTGTTCTCATCCTCCCTTCCTCCCTGCCCACTCCTCACTTCCCCCTTCAGTACCATGGTCCTGCCCCCTCGTTGCTTCCATCCATTATTCCTCTTGAACCCCACCCCACTCACCCCTGCCCTTCCTGGTCCTCTTGGAAGACACCCCTAGCTTTTGGGACCTCTACCATACTAACCCACTCGGGCTCTTTCTTGGTAAGAAAAGCTAGGGAACATACCCAAATATCAGGGAAGGGATGACACCGGGAATGTTGAAAGCTGAAGGGGGCCAGAAACAGTAGAGATGAAGAACACAAGATCTGAGATCAAGAGAGAGGATTAAAAAACCAAAACGAGGAAAGCAAGTAATCATAAGGGCAGAGGGACAGAGAGATTGAGAAGCAGTGTCTGAGGCAGGTATGGGAGGAGAGTAGAGGCCAGACTGACAGGGACACCGGCCCAGGGGCCAGGTCCAGTTGCCCCCAGCTGCTAGATGCAGTCCTTGTGGGAGACCCTGGAGGAGAAAATCAAGAGGGCTGATGGCTGCATGGAGACCTTGGAGACAAGGGACCTCAAAGACAATGATAGAGGCAGAGTCGAAGGTGAGAAGATTGCCCAGGACCTTAACTCTGACCACCCCATTACATAGGACCCCCAGCAAAGGCAACTTTCTCCTCATCGTCTCGAAGCAACGTGTTCAGAGCTAACACCCCAGGAGAACAAGATTTGAATTCAGATTCCTAGGGATGGTGTGCGGGAAAGGGGTTCAGGGGCTGAACAGAAACCCAGCCAAGATGGGGAGCTCTACCCCAGAGCCCAGGGGAATCTGTCCTCACCATCCTCCAAGCTCCACTCTCCACTTCTACTGACTGATTCCCAAGACTCACATTTTCCTCCTACACACCCCAGGGCTGGGCAGCCCGATGCCTGGGTCTTGGCCCAGAGAAGGACTTTGGCTTGGGACGAGAGGGTAGAGGCTAGGTGAGAGGATGAGAGGACCCTGGAGCTCCAGGGGCTGCATATCCGATGCCGGCAGATCCAGAGTGGAGATGGAGAAGATGGGGTTCGGGCCCTCTGGTGCCCCTATTCCTTTCTCAGAACTGACTCCGCTTCCTCCTCTCTGTAATAACAAGGGAAGGTGGTGGAGGGGGGTGGTTGTTGTGTTAGTGACAGCGCCACATGGGGACCGCCTGACTCCAGCCTGTGCCTCTGGCATCTGTGGCATCTTCTGAGATATAAATACAACCCAGGGGGCATCTACCCCACCCCCGGCCAGCCCCTGGCCCAGAGGCCTGGGGGGACTGGAGAAGGAGTCACTCTGAACCGCCTCTCCTTTCGCCTCCACAGGGTCAGCGTGCTGGTGGGAGCTCCCAAGGCCAACACCAGCCAGCCGGGAGTGCTGCAGGGTGGTGCCGTCTACCTCTGTCCCTGGGGCACCAGCCCGGTACACTGCACCCCCATTGAATTTGACAGTAAAGGTAACCTCCTTGGTAGGCGGGGAAGCTCAGGAAGGGACTGGGGGTGGTACTGCGGCTTGGGGGCGGGCCGAAGGGTGCCTTGAGGGAGGGGTGGAGCCTGTCCAGTTCCACGGCCACGTTCCCTCCAGGCTCTGGTGCTCCAGCTCAGTGTAGAAGCCGTGCAGCGACTCCCGTGGCACTCACACCATGTTCCCAGTCCAGCCCAGCCCAAGGAGGGCGGGCATGATTCAGAAACATGTGGCTCTCATTTCCCCTGAATCACCCACAACTCTGGGAGGCCAGGGCAGTAACACAAAGACAGGGAGAGTCACACAGACTTTTCAGTCCGTTTAACTAAGCACTGACTAAGTGACAGTGCACGCCAGGCACCGTGCTGGTGCTGCAGGGGACTGAAACATGATGAAACCACTGTCCTCAGGGAGCTCAAGGCCCAGAGTAGATGCAGAGATGGCTGGGAGGGAGACAGATGGAAAGATAAACAATAACAGCTAACGAACGCTTCAAGAGCACTTGCTCTGTGCCAGGTACAGTCCTGAGCGCCCGGCATATCTTAACTCAATTCACTTAATCCTTTCAGTACCGTGTGAGGTATTAGCCCCATTTTATAGATGACAAAATGGAGGTTAAGTCCCTTGTCCAAAGTCAGCTAGTAAACAGTGGAGCCAGGGCATGAACTTGAACAGTCTGGCTCCAGAGATAAAGACTGGGGTAAAGGGACGAAAAGAGGAGAGATAAAAACACGGAGACGATGGCAGGGACAGGGATAAGATCATGAAACACATTCATTTTTTTTTTTTTTTAAGTTCATTTATTTATTTATTTTGAGAGAGAGAGACAGAGACAGAGAGAGCAGGGTAGGGGCAGAGAGAGGGAGAGAGAGGATCGCAAGCATTCTCTGCTGACAGCCCAGAGCCCAATGCAGGACTCGATCCCATGAACTGTGTGATCACGACCCAAACCGTTATCAAGAGTCAGATGCACTCCACCATTCAACCGACTGAGCCACCCAGGCTCCCTGCCCGCCCTGCCACTTTTGTTTTTAAACCTGAAAGACAGATGAGAATCAAAGGAAAGAAAAAAACCGTACCATAGAGAGCAGAGGTAGGGCTTGGAGAGATAGACAGATGCTGGGAGAGAGACATAAGGTAACAGAGATCCAGAATTGTGAGAAAGAGCCAGAAAAGAAGGGATGGGACAAGGTGCTGTTAGAGACACCGACCCAGGTACAGAGAAGCATAGCCAGAGGACTGCCCTCTCAGGAAACAGCCATTCTTACTTACCACCCCCGTGGCCCCACATCACTTCAAGCGTCCCTGTCCCAGCTGGGTGAGGAGGCAGGGGCACCAGGGGACAGCAACTCTAGAAACGCTAGGTTCTGTGTGCGCACCCGTGGATGCACACGTGTCAGGGAAGGGGTGAGTCAGGCTACACAAAGCAGACTCTGAAACCCCCTCCCCACTCCTCCCAGTGAGTCATGGAGCTCAGGGCTTGCAAGTGCCCGGGCACCCCCAGACTGAGAGTGGGGGCCGCTCTAGGGCTCATCCATCCACAGCCCGGCATGACTCCCTTTTCTCACTTCTCCAAGGCTCTCGACTCCTGGAGTCATTACTGCCCAGCCCAGAGGGAGAGGAGCCTGTGGAGTACAAGTCCTTGCAGTGGTTTGGAGCGACGGTTCGAGCCCACGGCTCCTCCATTTTGGTGAGGGCCCAGCAGGCTGACAGTGGCTCTTAGTGGTGTGGTGTGGTGTGGTGTGACCAGGGGAATGGAGCAGAGGCCTGAGGGAGTGGGGGAGGCCCTGTTGGACTCACCTGAAGCCCCCTCCTCCTGGGCCCCGCCAGGCCTGTGCTCCTCTATATAGCTGGCGCACAGAGAAGGAGCCGCTGAATGATCCCGTGGGCACCTGCTACCTCTCCACGGACAATTTCACCCGAATTCTGGAGTATGCACCTTGCCGCTCAGGTAGGGCAAGGAGGGGCATGTGCCCTGTGTCTGCCTCCTCCCTGTGATTCCCCACCCCGCTTAGCCTTTCTGATCACTGTCTGGTCCAGGGAGATCCTTTCTCTGGTTCAGCTCTCTCTCCTTTCCTGTGTGACCCGTCTGTGCCGGGCTCCTTCCCACCACCTTCTCCCCTCACAGATTTCAGCTGGGCCGCAGGACAGGGTTACTGCCAAGGGGGCTTCAGTGCTGAGTTCACCAAGGTAAGAGTGTGGGCTGGGAGAGAAGCAGCTGTGGGTGGTGTCCCAGGAGGGTCAGGACCAGATGTGGACTCCTCTCCTTCCCTCCACAGACTGGGCGCGTGGTCCTGGGTGGACCAGGGAGCTACTTCTGGCAAGGTAAGTCCTTCCTCTGCTGTCCCTTAGTCCCCTGGCACACAGCCTCTCATCCCTCTTCCAGTCTGAGGTCACCGTCCTTCCCTCTTCCCTCCCTGCCCAGATTCTCCTCTCCTTTCCTTGAGACTTCTGTACCCTTTTCCACCACCCTCCACAAGCTTCCCTTCCTGAAACCAGACTTCTGCAATCCCACCCAATCAGCTCCCAGCGCCCCCCTCCCTGCCACCCTCCTCCTCCATCCGTCCAGCTCCTCACCCCCTTCCCCAGGCCAGATCCTGTCGGCCACCCAAGAACAGATTGCCGAATCCTATTACCCCGAGTACCTGATCAACCTGGTTCAGGGGCAGCTGCAGACCCGCCAGGCCAGTTCCATCTACGATGACAGCTACCTGGGTGAGTAAGCCCCGGGGAGGAAATAGGGGGGAAGAACCTCCAGTGGTCTTGTCCCAACCCCTGCACCCCCCCCCACCTCTTTTCTTCCATTCGGGCATCCTTTGTCCCCCTGCCCTACTTGTGTGCAGGCTGTGTAGGAAGGCCCAGTAGGGTTGGGGAAGGAACTGAAGGATGGGCCACAGCAGAGGGGTCCCCCCAGGAATACTAATATCCACCCATCCTGTCCCCCAGGATACTCTGTGGCTGTGGGTGAATTCAGTGGTGATGACACAGAAGGTGAGTGTGTCTCCAGGAGGGGGCCAAGGGAGGGGACGAATGGAGACCCAGGACCTAGGGCCACAGGAACCCAGACACCCTGCTGGTCGGATTTCCCTTTCCCCTCCCTTAGCCCACAACTTTCTCTTCTTTTGCAGACTTTGTCGCTGGCGTGCCCAAAGGGAACCTCACTTATGGTTATGTAAGACCCAACTTGACCTTCCCTCCCTCTCTCCCCTTCCCCTCCCCTGGTTAATCACAAAGAACCACGCACGGCAGTTTGTGAGGGTTCAAAAAGTGGATCAGAACACGGGCTCTGGAGGCAGACCTGGGTTCAAGTACTGGCGTTTACTCTGAATGAGTCATTCTGTTATTTATTCATATACCCCCCGCTGCATTCCACAAAATCCCCAGACCTACTTAGCCTCTCTGAGCCTCATTCTTCTCTGTAGAATGGGATAATAATAGTTCTGACCTCACGAGGCTCTTGTAAGGATGAAATGAGATAACGCCTGTGAAAGTTCTTAGTGAACTATGAGGCGGTGTACAATTGGTAGCTGTTATTATTAGACCGTGACAAGCGCTTTAGAAAGGACACAGATAAGACGGCCATAGGAGTTCATTCAATTAACAACATTTATGAAGGCCAGGTCAAAGATAAGAAGATGAATAAGACACCGTACCCCATCTCGTAAGGTGCTTCTAATCAAGTATGTAAGATAAGACACACATACAATTATAATCCGAGGTGTATCTACTATTACACAAGCTCGCCGCTGCGTCAGGCTCTGTCCTCTCATGATGTGTATTCTTCACAACAAGCTTCTGGGGCTAGATAATACCATACACCTTTTCCACGTGAGAAAGCTGAGGCTCTGAGACCAAGTAAGTGGTTTAAGATCACCCAGTTAGTAAGGGGCTGGAGAGAGATTTAAAACTAGATCCGTCTTGGTCCAAAGTCAGCGTTCTTTGTGCACGATGAGAAGTTTCAGAAAAGCAGTTAAGAGGATATAGCAGTTAAGAGGAAGGAATAACCTACTTTTCTAGGGCAGGAATGGATCGGAAAAGGTTCTTTTTTTTTTTTTCTTTACTTTTCCTTTTTAAGGTACATCCAAATTAGTTAGCATCTAGTGCAACAATGATTTCAGGAGTGGATTCCTTAATGCCCCTTCCCATTTAGCCCATCCCCCCTCCCACAAACCCTCCAGGAACTCTCTGTTGGTTCTCCATATTTAAGAGTCTCTTTTGTCCCCCTCCCTGTCTTTATATTATTTTTGCTTTCCTTCCTTTGTGTTCATCTGTTTTGTCCCCCATATAAGTGAAGTCGTATGATATTTGTCTTTCTCTGACTAATTTCCCTTCACATAACACCCTCTAGTTCCATCCACGTAGTGGCAAAGGATCAGAGAAGGTTCTATGAAGGATCTGTGGAGATGTGGCAAGAGGGCATCCTAGACAGGAGCATGGCAGAAAAGGAAAAAAGTCAGGCCATTGTAGCAGACTCGTGGGCTGACTGAGCATGAAAGGAATAAGGAAAGGTTGAGGAAAAACAGATTAGTTGGGGCCAGATTCCCCAGGGCATCCATCAGAGGACCAGTCGAGAAGTTGAGAATTTGGGCAGTGGCTGCAGGGAATCACTCTGGGTTTCCAAGCGAGAAGTGCCCCTCCTGGATCTGCTCTGGGACCATCAGTCCGACTGAGGCAGTCGGGGTAGGGTGATGGAGGCAGGGAGAGAGCCGGGGGGCCGTCCAGCAGTCTGGGAGAGGACTCACCCCAGAGTAGGAGCAGCGAGAGTGGGGAAGGGGGCAAGGAGCCAAGCGACCAGGGGACTGGTGGGGCCAGTCACTGAGGGGAGACCAAAGGGAGACATGAGCTGTTTGTGGTTTGGGAGGCCTGAAGGATGAGGGACGCCTGAGGTCTCAGGATGCATTCAGTCGTTCAACTAATAATTACTGTCTGCTGCTCACCAAGCACGACTTCAGGCTCTGGGGAGAAAGCAAAGGACAAAACCAAACTCCTGCCCCCGCTGGTCTTCTATTCTAGTGGGTAGAGATGGACAACAGACAGACAAACGTAACCTCTGTCAGTAGTTGATAAGTGATGGAGAAAAATAGTGAGGGTGCCTTGTGGTGGAGCTTCCTGGCACAGAGATGGGGGTGTGAGAGCAAAGTCAGGAGGGAATTAACAAACAAGCGTTCTGTGTCTCCAGCAAATGCCTTCCCCCTGAATATCCTGTACCTGTTTGTTCTCTATCCGTGGGATGGTCTGGGAGTCCGGGACCAATGGGTATATCTCATCATCCCCAGGTCACCATCCTCAATGGCTCAGACATCCGATCCCTCTACAACTTCTCAGGGGAACAGGTGAGGACAGCCCCCACACACAACCCAGCCTGGCCCTCTGCCAGTCAAGTCCCAGGCGTAAGCCAGTGAGCCCAGGCTCCCTGGAGTCTCTGACCTCCCCAGCCACAGTCCCTGCTGATCCTGTTGAGTGACCTCCTACTTCTGACCCAGTGCTGCCTCTGTGTCCACCCCCACCCCAGATGGCGTCCTACTTCGGCTATGCAGTGGCTGCCACAGACGTCAACGGGGACGGGTGAGTAGTGGGAAGAGGGCACACTACGATGCCCTTCCCAGATCCAAGACCAAAGAGCGGGGGGTAGGACAGAAAAATCCAAGGAGAGTTTTTCTCCAGGCTTTTGCTCTGGGTTCTCCTCCTGTGCTGTCATCCCCTTGCTCAGGAGCAAGGAGAGAGCTGAGAGCTAAAAGACCACAAGATCTCAAGTCTTCTCACTTGGGTGGGCAAGAGCCTGGGATCCAGGAGGCCTAGGATGTCCTGGCACTGGGACTGGAGAGGTGGCAAGGCAGGGTATCAGGGTGTCTAGCTTTTCCCCTTCCCTCAGGCTGGACGACTTGCTGGTGGGGGCACCTCTGCTCATGGAACGGACAGCTGATGGGCGGCCTCAGGAAGTGGGCAAGGTCTACATCTACCTGCAGAACCTGGCTGGCATGGAGCCCACCCCCACCCTCACCCTCACTGGCCATGATGAGTTTGGCCGATTTGGCAGCTCCTTGACGCCCCTGGGGGACCTGGACCAGGATGGCTACAATGGTAAGCGCCAGAGGCCCCAGGAGCTGAGGAGGAGTCTGGAGCCTGAGTCAGAAGGGGTTTGGGGAGAGGGCGGCTGTCAGCTAAGATACCCAGGACCCCCAGTGACTTTTCTAGGAGGTGTGTTGACTTTAACCCCACTGTCTAGGTCTTGGGGCTTGAAGAGATTGGAAAACTGGGAATGACAGATTGGGGAAAAAAAAAAAAAAAAAAAAAAA